CCCCCAGGCTGTGCCCTCCCTCTGCCAGATCTCCTCTCGGCTGCCTGGGGAGGTGCTTCTGCCCTCGGCCACGGTGTTATCCAGCGGTAAAGTGGGGAAACCCCCCCCTGAGATCGTGGGTCATATGTAACGAACTTGGGGATTGCATCTGCCTCGCCTGCCCTGGCTCTGCTAGCCGGCCCTGCGCTAGCTGGGCGGTGCTAGCTGCACACCCTGGCTCGGAGGCGAGCAGGAGGAGCTCACCACCCTCCAGCACCTCATTCTCATTCCTGAGCGCAAGGAATTCCGTGCGCTGTGCTGTCGGTAACCCGATGCTGCGCCTGGCCTCCCAGGAGACCCCATCAGCACCTCTGATGTGTCCCTGGGAAACTTCGTCCAGCGGCAGAAGTAAAGAGCTGACGTTTGTAGCGCTGCCTTCCTCTGCCCATCCCGCAGTGCTCAGCACGCTACGCACGGGACCAACGGGAATCGCACCGCTTTCTACTGAAACGCAGCCGTGTCCGGCCTGAAGAGAAACAGCTGTGGGGAAGAAGAGCACACCAGCCCCGCAAACCAATTTAGGCAAGCAGACAAGAAAAATCCTACAGCTAGTTGAAACTGGAAGCAAATGTACAGAGAAAAATGGACTTATGCAAGGATGCTGGACTGCTTCGACTGTTTGCAACAACTGCTTGTAAAGGTTAGAGCAGAGGGCAAGCTGGGCTGCCTGGGACCTTGGAGCCTTCCTGGTATAAGGGGATAATCAGATGCCTCCACACGCCAGGTGTTCTTGATGCTAATGCAGGTTCTGGGGGTGGTGAGCTGATAAATGCTTGCAGATGGAAGTCACAGGATTACCTAGACTGGAGAATGAGAGCCTAAGCTTCAGAGGGACCTTTGATGGCCATCAAGGTGTGAGCTGCGGATGTCCGCTGCAAGTGATGGTGCTCCTTTTTGCAAATGCTTCTGAGCTCTGTCAGGCCCTCGGTTTAACCTTGACTCAGAGGAGAGAGCAGCATTCAGAGAATCATTCACTCCTTCAATGTGGAGTTTGACTCTGCTGGACCCCCAGGCTAGTTCAGGGGAGCTGGCACCTGTGTGGGTGGAGGTGGCGAGACTGCAGCACGGCTGTTCGACTCTCCTGCTCCTCTCGAGATGGTGGGAGAACCTTTTTGCTCAAGATCACCGGGCTTTGTGCAGTCTCAGAGCCTGCTTAGCCAAGCAGGCAGCAAGAGAGCTGCCTCTCCTGTATCCTTTCCTCATGCTCCCTGGTACTGAATGTCCTGGTCACCTCCGCATACCCATCTTGCCAGAAAGCGCCCGTACCGTGGGAAAGCTTGCTCCCACTCAGACTAATGAACCCGTGTCCCCTGCCGAGTCTCCTGAAGAAAGTGGTTTTTGTAATAGCTTTGTTTAGGGTGACGGTGAGGCCTACCTGCCTGCTGCCCTGCTAGCTTAAGGACAAGGGGCCTCTCTGTGAACGCTGCAGCTCAGGACACCGGCCCAAATAAAGGAGGTGACACGAGTGTCAGGCATGGACGTACCTCCCCGTCCTGTCCCTGTGCCTCAGCATACTGGAGAGGTGTGCCAGCCTGCGGCACGGGCGCTGGGTAGGGCTCGGCTGCCTGCGGGCTGTGGTGGGGCTGCAGGTGACCTCAGGCACAGCAAGGGACAATGAATTTGCAGGGCTCGTGTTTTCATTCCCCGGAGAGCAGGGGCTTGTTCGCAGCTCGCCCACCCCTCGCCCAGCCCCAGGGCATCCCCCGTTACCTGTACACGAGCCTCGGTGAGGTCTGTCCTCATGGCTAGCTGCTCCCTGGCATAGACGTCTGGGTAGTGGGTCTTCTGGAAGACCTTCTCCAGCTCCTCCAGCTGGTAACTGGTGAAGGTGGTGCGGTTCCTCCGCTTTTTGCCCTTATTGCTCTCCGAGTCGGCCTTGTCCATGGGGCTGGGGAGGTCCGTGCTGGCCCTGTCCTGGGGCACTTTCACCCCGGCCTCCTTCACGCTGAGGTAGCTGCTGTCCATTCCCGAAGGGTCGGAGCTCGGCTGCAAGTCGGCCTCTCCTAAACTGCTCTCCTTACCTATTTGGGTGGGAGGACGGGGAGGGGAGAGGAGGGCAGGTTTGAGCAGGGTGGGGAGGGGGAGAGGGAGAAGGAAACAGATGTAAATCTTTCAACCAGTTAATTGGTTCCAACAATTAAAGCTGGCCATGGCAGTTGGGCAGCAGTCCCCAAACGCAGGCAGAGGCAGAGGAGGGAGGCGAGGCAGAGGTGGGCACAGGAGAGCTGCCGGCCTCGGCCTCAGAGGGTGCTGGAGCTCAGCTCGGGGGCGGCATGGGTGCCTGGCCGGGCTGTATTCAAGAGAGGAGGTGGCTGTTATGCCAGGGGGGCTGACTGCAGCCCACGGATGCCAGGGGAAGGGGAGGTTGGGGTGAGCTCTGCCAGCTCCTCCCGGTCCCCTTCCATGAGCCTGGCACACTTAGGTGCACGCACCCCAGCGAGACCCTCCTTCACCCTCCCACCGCCCGCAGAGCACTACGGTCCTCGGTCCTGGCTGCAGGAGAGGTCTCTGAGGACACAGGGACCCAAACCCAGGCCTCAGAGGATGGTCCCCAGTCACCAGCCCATCCGTGCTCCCCTACCGAATTACACACGGTAGAAAACCAGGGGCACACGGCAGCCACGCCTGGTGCTCGGTGGGATCCGTTTTCTGCTCGTGCATCCCCAGGCAACGGTGGTGTGTCAGCAGAAGTGTTCCCGACTGACACCCCGCAGCCACCCCGCAGCCGAGGACCTGCCCTGCTTTCAGCGAAGAGGCGATGAACGGTGCTTAGTGCCACAGAAAGGGCTGGTGCGAGACACCTACGGAAATGCCCCAGCCTGCGTGCAGGGCAGAGAGAAATGAGCGGGGTCTGACGGCAGCCTGGGAGGCTGTTCCCGCCTGACCGCCCTGAGCAATTAATAATTAACGGGCCATGACGTACGAGAGCGGTATGGTGAAGCAGGAGGTGGACATTTCAACCCCTGCAGTGAGCTGGTTCCTCTCTAAGGCTTAGCAGCTACGAGTGAAACCAGGTGTACGTGCCCTCAGGCACGGGCAAAGGGTGCTGTGATGGGGCGTCCTCTCCTGCCCACCTCCTGCCTCCAGCAACGGCGGTGACCCCTTCATTAGCAAGACCGCTGCCATGCCAGCAGGATCCTGGTGGGGACCCAGTGGCACGTAACACCTCTGATGGCAAGTGGCCCCGGCTCTCCTGTGCCTGCTGCCGTTGCTCTGTGCAGTGGGCTGTCCCCAGGCCAGAAGAAGAGGGTTTTGTGTCAGCGGCTGGCCCGCCCGGCGTGTGCTGTGCAGGCCAGTGTCACATCTGCCACACTTCTGGCTGGGATCCTTAGACAAAAAACATGGTAGCCCTACTGCAGGGTTTAACCTTGAGCCGCTACACTCAGCTCCTAAAGGTCCGGGAAGGATAGGGTGCAGCCAAGATCATGCCAACTGACGAATCTTTGTTTCAAATTCCACATTAGCCCATTTTTAAATGTTCTCAGTCCCACATCAGGCTTTCTGGGAAACAGCTCCACCATCTAGTGATGTCCCCAGCGGGAGATTTCCCTCAGCAGTGTCATATCCAGGGTCATTAATGCCAGCTCAGGCACCTTAGCCCATGTCTTTGGAAATCCCCCTATTTTCCAGCATTTGTCCCTCGTTACACCACCTTACCACCTAATTCACTGTATATTTACATTTTAGCCCTTCTATAAACAGCTCTGTCATGGCTTCACAGCCAAAAGCCCGTGAGCGGGCTTCTGAGAAGGTGTACGTACCCTCGCCCTTTTCTCACTCTCGCAGCTGAAAGACTGCGTTGAGGTGATGGGGAAGAAAACAGGAGGATGAAATGTAGCTGTCACGAGGGCAAGGAAAAAAATGCCCAGTTAGTACAGCGGAGTCGAGGGCAGGACTGGGAAGAAGGCACCGGAGACGCAGGAGCTATCTACCACTACCACCCTGCTGTATTTTCAGATTTATTGCTTTTTCTAATACCGTTCCCTCAGGCTTTTGGGGAGCTCCATGTAAAGCTCAGCAAAGCCTAATGTCGTCGATCTCAACTCTCTTCGCTTTGATCCTTAGGAACATTTGGTTAAGATTTATAGTCCCTGGGCGCCGGGGCCAGTGTCCAGGCCAGCGGCTGCCACCCTGCCTCCTCTTTGCACGCTCCGAGGGCTGAGCTGCTCCGCCGCTCCTCGGGGATGCAGGTGGACAGGCCCGTCCAAAATGCGCTTGGACAGTGCCCTGCCCCACAGCCTCGCTAAGTCCTATGCTACGGCCATGATATTTATTATTTTCAAAGCTAATGACAATAAAACAGTTCCAGAAAGTCTGCAGCAACTGGCTACCACCTATGAGAGTCAGCAGAGATGGAGTAATAAATAAATAGAAGTATTCCAGGAAATTTTTCTTCCCTTCTTTCTTTTTTTTGTTATTTATGATGTCAGGAAGCTCAGTACGTTTTCCCCCGTGCCTTTGTGCCGGCTGCCT